TCACCGCACCGCGCGCAGCCACGGTGCCGCCACAGTCCGCGTGTGTCACAAACATGCTTTGCAAGCTGTGGGGATTGAGGAAGGGGAGAGCGGAAGGTGTCAGACATATGTCGAAAGCAGTCAGGGGTTGAGACATGTTTGAAACATCTTTGGACTTGAAGTCTATGACTCATTGAAGATTGTTGAACATTTGTGGGACGTTTGGGACGCCGGTGAACAAACGGAGGTTTCAGATCAGAGGTTGAAACCATGGAAAAATGATGAACAGTCCTTGTGTTTTCATCCTTTCCGGAAACTGAAAATCATTGAAATCATCAAAAAAATGCGTGAAATCGCCTTTGGTCTGGGAAAAAATTGGCGAGAGTTTAGTTACCTCGGGTCGCTCTGGGTGGGGTAAGAAAATAGCAGATTTGTGTTTCCACAATTTTCTAATTGAAATTTTGTGTTTCCACAATTTTCTGATTCAGAATTTTGTGGAAACACAATTTTCCAATAGAGGCACATACCAGGAAATTGTGTTTGTACAAAAAAATTTAAAAAATTGTGGAAACACAAAATCCTGATTTTGGTTGATGTATCACACGTGATTGAAAACAGGTTTCTTTTGTGTCGGAGTCTTGAATTTTTTGGATCTGGCCAGGGCTGCGATGTGAATTGAAACCAAATTTCACGTTGGACCACAGCCTCGGTGTTGCATGTTTCCCCTGCAGTTTGCCACTCACGCACGCAGGGTTTTGAAATCTAAACGGGCTTCACTCAAATGAGAATAGTTGCCAAAGGTTGATTGTCTATACCTTGCAACTGTTGTGCAAGGTTCATTGATGTTGATTGACCTTGTCCCTTGCTCTGTGGCAGCAGGGTTATCGATGAACAATGTGCGTGTTTGGCTCCAGTACTTGAGGCGATCTTGTCTCTGTGGTGGTGGTTCGCGTCATGGATCGCGAGGCAACAATTGCACTTGCACGGCTGATGAGGTGCGTTTGTGGCATCCTCACAACAGTCCAGTTCGCGATCGAACACAGCGATGTGCGTGAGCTACACCAGAGCTTTGCAGAGGCGACCAACTCCTCCCTCCATCGAGCACGGGTTCAGGGTGATGAGCCCACGGCGCTGCCGACGCCGAGCCGTGGACATGTGCTGCAGAGAGATGAAGGCCATGGAGGTGCAGGCCATCCTGATGAAGAAGGTCAAGATCCGCCGGAGGAGCGACCCCGCTCTAGATCGCCCCGGCGATGAGGACCATGGCGATAAGAGCCTTGAAAAAATGAGACGGGTGCCATCGATGATTGTAGGCACAGTTGTATGGGTCGTTCAGATGTTCTCAGCTTCTCAGCATCACTGATGTCTCAAACATGTCTCAAACATGATGTCTTGACTCGACATGTTCATTCTGATGAGCATTGAAGTTCTCAAACATGTCACCAAAGACTTGTGGCTCGTTGCAAGCATTTGTGGCTCCAAGACTGGAGCTCAACGACTTGTGGAGCGAAGAACAAGCATGGGCAATTCTCGGCCGTCCATGGAAGAAGCAATGGAGATGTTCCAGTTCCAAGACATCAATGAACTCCGTGCTCATGAACGCATGGTCAACGACGAGGCGTCATGAACCATACCCTGTATGGCTTTGCGCAGGGTTGACTCTTAAATCATGTATACCCTGCGCTTTGTTGCAGGGTTGTTATATACTCATATATACAGTTGATGATCTTGAGACATTCCCCTGTGCTGTGTTGCAGGGTTATAAAGCATACATAATGTATGGTGTGCATTCTTCATAAAGACATGCAGGTGGAGCGCCAGCGAGACGTTCAAATGCGGCGATTGAGGTTTGCGCTGCTGGTGGCTTCGAAGATTGAGTCTCTGGAGAAGCAAGTGGCCGAGTTGAAGGGCCGAGTGAACGAGCTAGAGCGCGCAAGGTCGCGTAGCCCACGGCGGTGATCGCACGTGTGGCAAACACGTCATGTTTCGTGTGGCAAAATGGAATTCGAATTCAGTCATGTGTTGGAAAACAATGGATCATTGATTTTGCTCGCATGGATGTATCACACACACATTCAACTTCTTTGTCACGTGTGCGTGCTTGTGCACTGGAACTTTGAACTCAGTCATGTGTAGGAAACAATGGAACTTGTTTGTCACTTGTGCGTTTGCTCAGATCAAGCAAAGCGTCCGCAAGTTGGCAAGTTGTTGTGGCCATGTCTGATCGTGAGAGAGATTTGGAGGCAGAGATTTTCGCCATCCTGATTGAGTTGAAGCTTTCGCTCGACTGCTTCTACCGTCTGCTCGGGAGGGTGGAGAACACGCTGCGCATGGAGAGAGTCGGGCAGAGCGTTGCAAGAGACAGGAGCCGGTCACCTCCACGTGCAAGAGACAGGAGCCGGCCACCTCCGCCGACAGATGACGATGTCGAAGAGACTATGGTGACAGGCGGCAATGACATTGGTCGTTGATGGAGCTGAAGAGGCTTTGACCTGAGCTCATGAAGTGGCTTTGACCTGAGAATTTGGACTTGATGGAAAATGAACTGATGCGCTTTGCACAACCTAGCGTTTCAGGGCTGGTGTTGGTGAATGTGTGTTGCGTGTACCTGACCTTAATGTTGGGTTTGAGTCTATTGTGCTCATGTTGGGTTTGTGTCAATTGCTTGCACTCATGCAGTTTGTTGATGTACACATGCACTTTGTACTCATGCAGTTTGCATATAGTGACAGTGCCAAGTCTGAAGTTTCTCACTGACCCTGCAGCTTCTGCAGAGGTTTGCTATGGTGAGAGTTTTGGGCTCAAACTTGCCATAGTGTGTGGATGTGTGTGGCAAGCGTGTTCCTCATGGCGTATATGGTCTACGAGTTCATTTTTGTCAATGAGGGACAGCCATGGGATGTGACCGAATCGGTGCGACCACGATGTTTTCGGAAATTGCCTACCAGGCAGGTAGAGCGGATGGATGCGAGAGACTTCCAGGTGCTCTTCATCGACAACCTGCCCTGGAAGCTGGACTTGAGTGAAGGGCTCGGAGCTCGTGGCTGCCACCATGTCCAGGAGACAGACCGTGGCCAGGTCAAGTGGTGGCGCTTCTTGCGTCACAAGGGTGACAGGAACATGGTGGTTCGCCAGCTGATGGCTGGGGTGCTGACACTTTCAGCGTATGTTGGCTACTGTGCTGAGACGGAGAGGATCTACATGTCGCTGCACGCATTGAGCCAGAGTATGGTCGGGAGCGTGAGCTGGCCAAAGAACCAGTACATCACGGTTCGTGCATTGGTCCAGCGTATGCACAAACGTGTGTGCGACCGCATGGGAGTCACGATCCGATCCACGCCAAGGCCAGGTTGGGTTTGGGATGGTTTGGGTATATGTTTGGGCGTTTGTTTGTCACTTGTTAAACCCACGCGATTGTTCGCAGGGTTGCACAAGTCTTCAGTCTTTGCAATGCATGTTGAGGCATGTTGGCCCCACGCGATTGTTCGCAGGGTTGCACGAGTCTTGACTCTTTGCGCTCACCCCTGCGTTAGTTTGCAGGGTTTTGAACACTTTCCTTGCACTTTCCTGGCAGGTGCTGTCCACCCGCGTCGCGGCAGAGCTCAGCGGCCTTTTGACGGCGCAGAAGCTGCCGAAGAGCGTCGGGTTCAGGCCACTGCACAGGGTGTGCCAGAAGCTTCCGCAGGGGTTTGTGAACTTGCGGAACGACCCGGCTGGTTGCAAAAAGCCGAGCGTGGGAGCTGGATCGTGACTCGGATGAGTCGGAGGAGGAATCCGAGAATGGATCAGATGCAGAACTTGCTCGGTAATCCTGTTGACTTGGAGCAAAGTCTGGAGCAAAGTCCTGGATGGCAGTGGCAATGTTTTTGTAGACGCATGGCAATGGGCCTGCAGCCTGGAGTCTTGTTTAGACGCGTGGCCGTGGCAATGAATGCCAGGCTTGGAGCATGGACGTATAGACGTAGATGTGTCACAATTGAGCATGTTTGTTATGTATTGTTTGGATGAACGCAATGTATATGTGGATTCATTGAATTTCATTTGTTCTTCAACTTTGTTCGCTATACGTCTGATATACTGTCATATTTGAGCTGTCTGAAAGACATGTTGGTGCCGGCAACAAGCCGTGAAACAGTGAGTAGCCTTGCCTTGCGTGCAAAAGTGCTAGAGCAACCTGGAGACGTGAGCATTGTTGATGTCCACTCTGAACCCATAGCACGCAGGGTTGTCTTGCGTTGATGTCTTGTCACATGAGTTGTTCAAGCCATGGATTTGACTCTCACCCCCGACGCGAACACGCGGCGCGAACAATACCAACAACGTCGCGGCCGATGGGGGGAGCATATGTCCGAAACACTCGTGCTCGGACAAAGCTTTGAGCTCGACAGTCGTGATGCCAACATCGAGGCTTGCAAGGAGGTGAACATGCTTGCGAGCGTGCGTGACCTGAAGCTCAGCATGCAGCGCTTCTCCACAATGCTTGAGAGTTTTGAGACCGCCCTGAAAATGCGCGAGCGCAGCCGCAGCCGTACTCCACCTCCACCTACATGTGCACATGGCGATGACGATCAGATCCCAGAGAAGTGAGAGAGGGTAGCATGGATTTACCCTGCGCTTGACGCTGCAGGGTTATATACTCAGTGTAAAAGGACTAAAAAGGTGGCAGTTCATCATGTTTCAATGCGATATTCTTTTGAAAGTACACCCATGCAGTTATTGCAGGGTTGCCAGTGCTAATCATGAAGCACCATGCCTGTGTGATTCGGTGATCTTAAATGATGCAAGGTGTGAACACGTGTGAGTGAATCAACCCTGCACTTCACTTGCGGTGGTTTTGGATTCAATGCAAATGTTAGTACTGCCAGCCATGGCATCGCGTGAGCAGAAGGTGGCTGAGCATGTGCGTGGGATACAGCAGTTCCTGGCCACGCAGAAGGGCCTGCTGGACAAGTCGAAGTGGGTGACCTTGTCCAGAAGCAATGCGAAAGCATTGTGGAGCGGATCGGGTCGCATTCCATGAGGTTGGAGCTCACTGCATCCGGCCCATGGAATGACAGCCAGCGTGAGAGCATCTCCGAAGCGTGCAAGCTGCCTGCAGGCAGAAGACGTAGCCGACCGAATCAAACGTGCAAATCCTTCACGGGTTACTTCTCAGAGCATGACGTGCATGCGATGAAGTTGGATGCTGGCTGGGGCGAAAAGCTTGACCGGCTTGCAGCTCGCTGTGTGAGAGTGGGGCTCCACCTGCCCAGCGAGCAGACCGTGAAGGAGATCCTGCGAGCCTCGCAGCAGATGGGCCTGAAGCTTGGAGATGACAGGCAGACGCGGTATGAGGCCGTGAATGCCTTCAAGAAGAGCTTGCGCCACAGGATGCGCAATGCTGAGAAGCATCCGGTCCACGCGGTTGATTGCCCCGCCAACCCAAAGGACCTGGATGGCTGGCAGCAGATGTATGATGAGGAAGACCCTCCATGTGGCCAGACGGATCTGCCGAACAGTGTGCCGTTGAGACAGCCGAAGGAGGCCCAACCCAAGGCAGCCGCAGCCTCGCAAGGACAATGGGGCACGCCCATGGAGATGATGCAGGCGATGATGCAGGTGATGATGGGCAACGCTCCGCATGCGCTGTCGAGCTCCTCTAGAGGAGGCAACCTTCCTGGCTTTAAGATGTTGAGAGGTGCAGGCCACGGAGGTGGAGGCAATGGAGGCGGAGGCGGCAAACATGGGAGATCGTGGGACTGACTCTCAGGAGCCGGAGTCTCAGCAGACGCCGCCTGGCCGTTTGCCCACCCATTCGCCTCCTTCAGCCACGGCAAAGGCGGCTGAGCATCCTTCAGGTCCATCAGCGCCAGCAAAGGCTGAAGCTCCTGCACTGAGGCCTGCGAAGATAGATGACTGCATGGACGTGCCTGCAGCGGAAAAGGCTGCTGAAGCTGACGCTGAAGAGTTTCTGAAGGCACGACAGAAGCGGGAGTCCACGAAGGCCAAAGAGCCCAAGCCCAAGGTCCTGAAAAGGCCAGCAGCCATCTCAGATGGCTATGTGAAGGAGTGGAGGTCCAAGCACCACAAGCAGGTGATCAAGTGCGGCCGGCAGCTGTGCCAATTTGGCGATTTGGCATTGACACGGGAGCAACTGACCGAGATAGCTGACGATGCCATAGAGAAGATGAGAAAGGGCACGCTGCAACAAGACGCCTGCAAGGCCTGGTGCGATTCGGCTGTAAAGGCAGCCTTGAAGAAATGACTGCGATCGACTTGATGGAAAAGGAGATGCGCTTTGCGCAACCTAGCGTTTCAGCGCTGGTGTTTGTGAATGTGTTTTGCATGTATATACCTGACGCTTACTGTTGGGTTTTGAGCTTTAATCCTGAAATGGGCATAAATGGGCTTGTTTCTTGCTTGTGTTTGTCAGTTCGCTCTTCCATTTACCCAACGTTTATCGTTGGGTTTGTATTCCAGAGCTTATTGCTCAGTGTGCTTCAATTGTTGGTATATTCATGCAGAATTTGTCGATGTCAAGGAATGCGTAGTGACAGTGCCAAGTCTGAAGCTTGTGTACATTGACATTGCCAGGGTGTGTGGAACATTGAAAAACAAAGGAACATTGATAAAGTGACAAAACAAACACAAATGAGGAACACATGAGCTTTTGAGAGGCACATGACAATGAGACGCAACACAAACATGAAGAACACGTGAATTTTGGAGAGATACTTTGTCAGATTGCGATGGCGCCAAAGAGGTTGGCCAACCTGGCTGGAAATTCGTATGTGTCCAGTTCTGCGCTGGCCAAGTTTTTGGAAAGCGTGAAGCATAATCCAGAGCTGTTGAACGAAAGCACCTCTCGCTACACTTAGAAGCGGCGCCGTGAGGAAGAAGTTGTGGTGACTGGTATTTATGGTGACCTTGTCAAGGAGATGCGTTGCACTGGAAAGGACGGAAATCCTGTCACAATTTGCTACGCTGACCCTGTTGTGACGGTGGACCATTTGGCGCGCATTAGCCCTGCGTACAGGGAGACTTTGCGCCGCAAGGCGGCCCGGCGTTCGCCGGTTGATCAAGCTTGGCAGATCTGCGTGTACGCGGACGAAGTTCTGCCAGGCAACGTGCTGAGAGCTGTTAGCTCTCGCAAGTGCTGGGCAGTTTACTGGACGTTTCTGCAATTGGAAGAAGCCCTTGGCAGTGAGCTGTGCTGGAACACCTTTACCGTGGCGACCAGCGATCAGGTGAAGAGGCGAGGACGGGTTGTCCCAGCTGATGAGGGAGGTGTTTCGGCGGCTCGGAGGAGGATTCCAGGATGGAGTGTACATCGAGGGTGTTGGGATTCTCAAGGCGGAGCTCCGGTTGATGATATCGGACGAAGGCGCCTTGAAGCAGACCCTGATGTGCAAGGGGGCTTCTGGAAACAAGTGTTGCATCATGTGCCGCAACTGCGTTCTTCATGCATCTGAGTTGTGGAAGCATGGAGATGGCTTGGTCAGCCATGTCGAGCACGAGTTCGGCAGGTTTCGTCCACATAGGGATGAAACGTTGCGGTCGGTGTGTGACCACCTGGCGGCCAAGAAGCCTCATCTCAGAAAGGGCGAGTTTGCCCAGTTGGAACAAAGTCTGGGCATGAACTTTGGAACGCATGGATGCTTGTTTGATCTTGAGTTGAGGAGAACCTGGCGCCCAATTTCCATGGTTCAGTGGGACTGGATGCGCTGCCTACTCGTTCAAGGCATCTTTCAATTGGAGGCGACTGAAGTTCAACCTTGGACGGGGGCCCAGGGTTTTGACACTTCCAGGTTCTGTGTAAACCTTGCGGGGACCATGAAGTCCGCAGGGTTCTGTGTTTGAATCCCTGCCAGGTGAACCTTGCGATGAAGGCATTGCATGCGCACGGGTTCGACAGCACGAACATCCATCAGTTCCTGTCAGGTCTGACGTGGCCGAGTCAATTTGCAACAGAGGCGAAAGCTGCCACAGTGGCATTCAAGGGAAAGCCTGCTTCGTTCACAGCATCGGCCTCTCAGTGTTTGTCTCTTTACGCGCCGCTGCGATACTATATCTCCACACTGGGAGTGAACAATTCTGCTGCATATGTGTCGTTCATTTCCTTGGTGGAATTGCTGGAATTGTTACACCATTCAATGCGGAAGGTGATAGATGCGGAGGAGCGTTTTCCCTGCAGGGTTTTTTCATTCGAGAATTACAAGGGTTCATGTTTTAGTTCAGATATAGTTTTCTCAAAGGATTGTTTTTTTTGCGCAGGAGCTCAGCCGGCTATCGCAGAAACACTTGCGCAACTTCAAACTGGCCTATTCTGAAGATGATGTGCTGCCCAAACATCACTTCACACAGCACTTGGGCCCTTTGTTACGTTCTCAAGGTTACCTACTCAGCTGCTTCACGCACGAACGCCGCCACAAGTTCGTGAAATTGTATGGGAATGCATCGCGCAATGTGAATGCGCCTGAGTGTGGATCTATATACAGTTTCTTTATAGGATCATTGTCCTTCAAGTGTTTCTTCGTTTTTGCATTTTTTGTTCAAAGATATAAGTGACTGCCCAGGCCAAGTGGTCGCGGAACCTGTTGTTGGAGACATCCTTGGCACAGTTTCAACGGCTGGAAGGAATGGAGGGCTCTCTTTTGCACAATGTGGGCTTGGAGCCACCAATTCTACCAGCGCCTGATGTTGTCAGGCAAAGCCTTGAACTTTGCACAGGCATGTCCCTGGCCCACACCATTGTGGAGTACGCGTTGCAAGCGCGTATCCAGTTCGGAACTTGTAGGAGAGACGATTTGGTTCGCTGTGCGAGTGGAAGTGAGGTGGTGTATGGACAAGTTCATCTGCATGTGAGGGCCGGTGAATGTTGGAGCATGATCAGTCCATGGGAGACTGCTGGAAAGAACCAGTTGAGAATCAAACACGATTCCGTGTGGGTTCCTACTGAAACAGTTCAAGGAGTCCTGACATGGAAAAAGGAAGGCATGACGGCGTTGATAATGCCGCAAAGGTTTTGACCTTGCCAAATTTGCAGGGTTATATGTCACCTTGTGCTCCAACAGGGTTATGTCGCTCACCCTGCAAATGTGTAGGGTTTTTCGACTCGACTTGATTCCCGTGTGGAAAGAGCGAGTGGATGAAATTTGTGAATAGATAATATGAAATATATGTATGAATGAAATAATAAGGTAGTTTTTGATAGTAATAAAAATATTTTAGAATAACATAGAGTAAATTATACATAGAGACATCGAAAATTTTTGTTTGCTCCCCCAACGCAATACCATGGGAGGCCTGGCTCCCCTCTGGGCGTTGGGGGAACTAAAACCCAGGTTTGTTTGCGTTCTTGGTGTTGCGTTTACTCGTGTTTGCGCTTTGTTGTTTGTTGTTTCTTTTTGTGCGTGGCGCTATTCCTCTATTTGTTTGTGTTGGTTGTTTTTGTTATTGCGTGTTTGTGTGTGTGTGTTGGTGTGGGTTCGCTGTTTGTTTGGGTTCCTTCCGTTCTCGCAACTCGACCTGCCGTTAAAAACTATTCGTAAATAAGTTTTTGATATATGAATGACTATATAGTTGCAGAGGTTTTTTGTTCAAATCACATGTGATGTTTTAAATAAGTATCACATACACCTTTTCAAACTATGTACAAACAAACCAACCAACCAAACAAACAGACAGACGTACAAACAAACAAACAAACAAACAAACAGACGTATACAACCAAACAAACAAACATACAAACAAACCAAGAAAGGACGAACAGGGCGTGTTGGATAGATAACGCATTGTTAACAGAATCGATATATAGTTCATTCAATCCGGACCATGCAGCCGCAGCGTGAGAGCACTCTGTCTGATCACGACAGGCATGCACGCATGAATGCCTTCAAGAAGTGCTTGCGCCTTTGGTTTTGTTGAGGGTCAGGTTATGAGCCGTACAGGTGCAGCGTGAGAGCACTCTGTCTGATCATGACAGGCATGCAGGCATGAATGCCTTCAAGAAGTGCTTGCGCCTTTGGTTTTGCTGAGGGTCAGGTTATGAGCCGTACAGGTTATGAGCATAAATATGGTTATCAGCCGTATACAGGGTCCGATTGCTGATCTTGTACGAGGGCCTGAAGGCCGTTTAAGGCAATGAGTCTCAAAAAGAAAACAGATGAAGTGGAAGGGAATGGACAGGAAAAGGAAAAGGATCAGGGAAGGAAAGGGCTGGAAGTGGAAGGTTCAGGGAAGGGAAAGGACAGGAAAGGAAAGTTAAGGGAAGGGCGAGGCAAGGCAAGAAAAGGAACGGAAAGGAAAGGATACAGGAAAGGATATAGGAAAGGAAACAAAGAAAACAAAATGAAAGACAAATGTTTCCAGCGCAAGGAAACAAACGGAGGTGATCCAGAAGATCAGGCAAGGCAAGGCAAGAAAGGGCAAGGCAAGGAAAGGAAAGGCAAGGTAAGGAAATGAAATGAAAATAGGAAAGGGGCAAAGAAGAGAGGCTGGGGTGAGAAGCTCGACCGCTGGGCTTGAAGCTTGGAGAGGATAGGCGCCAGCTGGACAGGCTTGCGGTGCTGTGCTTGAAGCTTGGAGAGGATATAGGCGCCAGCTGGACAGGCTTGCGGTGCTGTGTGCTTTTCAAAGGACCTGAGAAGCCCCTCCAGGTGAGAAGCGGTTCGCAAAGACCGCTACCCTGCTGTCAGCTAACTATAGCCAACTAGCCCTGTTCACTAAACAAACCAACAAACAAACGAACAAACAAACAACCAACAAACGACAAACCAAGAAACAAAGAAACGGACAGACAAACAAACAAAATAAACATGTTGTAACTGTATCTACCTATGTACCTATATATGTACTCACATATAAATATAGCGCTGCAACAAGCTGGCAGCTGCGATGAAGAAGACCCTCCTCATGATGTGCGTTCTGCTGGCAACAAGCCTGGTCTGAAATGTCCAACATGCTTGAGACTTCTAAGTCCAACCGTCGGACTTAGGAAGTCCGACTGTGTAACGTTGTAAGTCCACTGCAGTTGAAGTTCTGGTGTGGTTACTAAGTGCAACTGCAAGACTTATAAGTTAGTTAGTCAAGCAGATTAAGTTCAACCGTTGGAGCTGTGCAGTAGTAAGATGTTCAACGCAAGTTCGCCTCTATATGTTTCATTAAGTCTAGCGATGATGAAGTTAGTAAGTCCAACTTTGGTAGCGCGTAAACACTTATAACTTCAACTATTAGTTCGTCAACCATAACAATCACTTACAGGCAGCACCGCACATCCAAGTATGCAATATTTTGAGTACGGAGAGCGCGTTTTCTTAGTGCTCGCTGTGACGGCCTGCTTAAACAGGCCTATAGACCAAATGTCATTGACGTTGCCAGCAATCATTTCGAACCGCTTTCGAATAGCCCGCTGGTGGCCTTTTGCAGTAGTTCAGTGCCCAATTTCTGTTTCACCATATCTGTTTCACCCTTGCATGTACATCCAAGAGTCTCCATCTTTGTGCTTTTCTTTGTCGGTTTTGTTTGGTTTTTGGGCTTTGTTTGTGTGTTTGGCCCCCTTTCATGATGGAGACTACAAAAAATTGCACAAGCTGACCTGTGCACTTCCTGCATGAATGGCGGCTCGACTCGTGCAAAAAGAATTGTCATGTTTGCGCCTTTTTTCGGCCAGCGTTCAGAAGCCAGTTTTGGTTGTTCAGTGTGCAAGGAAACCTTGTTTCGTTCCATTAGACGTTGTTGTGGGGGTGATGCATGTTGCGACAGATGGGGTTTTGAAAAAGCTTGTCCGGTTTTTCACTTGCGACCTTGGTGTTTTGTGAAGGTGGATTGGGTCGATGTCCTTTGTTTCTTGTTTGAAGGGTTTGGAAATATGAGAAAGAAAGAAAGTTCAGATTGGCAAGCGAATCAGACCAAGGGTCGACGCGCAGAGTGGCCAAAAAGGTTTGAAGAGCATTGTTGAATCTTGAGAAAACCGCCACGATAAGGATTGGAGAGACAAGCGCAAGAGGATTGTACTCCAGATCAGGGATTTGCTGTGGCATGGCAAGTTCATCTCTGTGCATGACAGTTGCGCTTAGTTCATTGCAAGTTTAGCTTCTAGGGAGTTTCTTGTGATTTCATTTGCAGTTGCTTGCAGCTTTGTGTACTTTTCATGTGTACTTGTCAGGTCTTGAGGATAGACGTTTGCACGGGCTTTCGAGGATCCCGATGATGAGACACTGAAGGCCACGCAGATGGGATCTGACCCTGAGATCTCATGGCTGATCTCTGAGGATCTCTGAGGGATCCTTTAATTTGTTGCTTTCTTGGTTGATTGCATGCTTGTTGATGGTTGAACGGAGTTCTTTGTTGGATCTGGAGGTTTGTTTGGGATGGACTCGATCGAGTTTACCTCTAGATTGATAGCATTGAGATCATCTTTGAGGACAGTGGTATGGATCTTAGTTGTTGTCTGCTCCTTAGTTGCTCAGAGAAAACGAATAGAAGAAGAGAAGAAGAGAGAAAGAGACAGAAGGTGGCGCAATGTGACCCAAGAAGGGTCTGAAGCAAAGCGTGCAGCGTGCTTGTACAGGGTATGGCTCACCTAGTGCCAGTTTCTTTAGGGTATTTTCGTTTTCAAAACGCTTGGGGTTGGAGCTGAGAGGAGATCTTTGTCCTTTTGATGTTTTTTTTTCGACCACCTTAGCAGGAAGATGTTTGAAGTGGCGAGATGTCGTTAGGAATAGCTTAGAGAACTTTTTGGTAGAGCACTGTGTGCATGGAGAATGGTTAAGATAGTTGATTGTAGTTTTGTGTAGGTTTGAGATGCCTATGAATAATCTTGACTCTCTTAAGAAGAGCTGACAAACTTTAGAGAATCTTTGAGAACGCTTGAGACAGTCTACACTACACAGACCGTGACTGTGGCTCAAGGAGCGGGATCGAAAAGGGAAGCTTGCGCCACCGTGTTTTCACAGAAGACGCGAGGACGCGAGAAGACGCGAAATCGGTTCGCAACGTCGCAGCGTCGTGCGTTGCAGCGTCCAGCAACGTCGCTGCGTCGCAGCGTCGGGTTGGAGAAGGACCCGCTAGCTGTCAGGATGTGGATGATGGTGAAAAGAATGATGAATGGGGCGCAACTCTGAAGAACCAAAATGGCCCAACACAAGAAGTGCAAACGGACGAACGCAATGAACCAAAAATCGTGCACAAATTTTACCAGCAGACAGACCACGTACATGATCAATATGACCTTTGAGGAAGAAACTGGAAGCATATAAAGAAGCAAGTGAGGTCGTGCAAAGTGACCTGAAGTCTCAAGAGCAACAAAGTGCAGCATTGAGCAGCGCATTGAAAGATCATGAATAGCGTTGGCTTAGATCCCTTCACAAAATGGTGACAGTGCACTCATGCGGAGATGTGTACCATACCAGGAGCCGATGCATGTTTGCTGGTGGCCGAGCACTTGGGCTGTGTACATTTGTCCTAGGCATGAGCAAGATAAGCCAAGATGGTCGAAGGCTAATGCACGGACCATTCAGTACAATCATGACCACCGCCACCGTGCATGAGGACTGTGCAAGCCGCAGCATGAAAACTCCACTTTTGTAAGTGAAAAGTCGGCTTTACTCCGCCACAGCTTTGGGAGTGTGTTAGGTTTGATTGCTTTGTTCTTTTGGGCGCAATGCAATGGTGTACACGCAACATGTTCATGACAAAAACATCCACACAGTCAACAATGAGTGGTGATCATGGTTTCACCGTTCTTTTTGATCAGAGTGTGCCATGATGTGTGTTATGATGTCACCAGCATGCAAAATTTTTTTTGCATGGCACGTGGCAGGCTCAATGCATTCAGCAGTGCAATTTTGCGAACCCAAGCGTGGTAAGAGGCACCATTTTTGAGCCTCTTGTGATTTTGAACCATTCGGTTGGCAGAGACGACGTTCTGTCATGCCTCAACATGTCACATGGAAATCTTGTGGGAGTCAGCATCTCCGATTAAGTTGTGCAATGATTTTTGGCGCTTTGAGGGAGAATGCGTTGGTCTGGGCTGGGCTGGGCCAATTGGGGGCAGGATATCACTTCGTCTCCAGATCCCGATGCTTGCGGAGGTGGTGCTCGTTGCGGCGCGGAGGGGCCTGCGATGGGCTGGATGGGTTTTTTGAAGAGCCGGTTTTGGTGTCTCAGATTCACAGGCCATTGGGCCGTTTTTGATGCACCTTTTGGTCGGATAGGCGGCACATGGTTGCAAAATCTTCACAAAGTAATCAATCCAGGAACAGGACCTTTGGCAACCGGTCATTTGGTTGGGGTTCACTGCAACGCATTTGTTTCAAACCATCAGGCATCTTTCTCCAGGCAGCTTATCTTTCTCCAGATAGCCTCCTGATCGCGGTGTGTTTTTGGCCGATCTGCACCTGAACCATCGGCAATAACATCAGTTTCTTCCCTCTTCAGACTCACACAAGATCTGTTCAGGTTCCCAATCTTTTTTGTTTATTCTCCTGGGTGCCAGAAGCACACCTTCATTTGGCTCTTGAAGCGGTCGCTGCTCGGATGTTCGCCAAGTTTCGGTCGATGTTCCGCCTGCTGGTGATCGTGACCTGGCTGCGGTCGTCCGTGACGCCGGTGAGTGCGGCGCCGACCCTGCTGAGCTGCATCTACGGGTGGGCGGAGTGCCTGGGCCTCCAGGACAGTGATGGATTCGAAGAGGCCCAGGAGCTTGGCTGCCCTACTACTGTGGATGGAAGATATGCGGCGAGGATAGAGATGCTGCTGCTTTGGTGGAGGGGGTGGTACAGTAATTTGTTGAATGTTAAGCTTAGGCAAGTACAACAGGTCTTTCTTGATGCATTTTCAGGAGGCCAAGATGTGATGTGTTTTCCTTTTTTGACCGCCGCAGGACAGAAACTCAATTGATGAACCAATTCTTCTCAGCCTTCCGGATGAATAGTGGTCAATCGATCGCTGGGTCCACGATCATGCCCTATGGCGACGGCATGCCGTGCACCTTTAACCCCGCGGATGACGTGCCAGCCAAGGAGCAGATTACCTCGCTGGAGGATATTCAGGACTTGTGGGGTGGAGGAGGAAGTTCAACAGGGGTGATGAAACATGGGGGCTTTGGCCATAATTTCTGGATAGTGCCACAGAAAGCACTATAGAAAACAGCACAGCACTTTTGTACGGTACATCACGTCTTTCTGGTCTAGTCATGCGATTTAAACAATTTGAAACACTACCCGACTGCTGACCAAAGTAATATTCCTACTAAGGGCTTTTCACCGACAAGCGCAGGTGACCTTTCCCAATGGCAGCCGCGCGGTGGTGACTGGTGCAACCTGGCTACCGGCAGTCGAAGGCAACGAGTGGATGACCCTTTTGCTGTTGGGCAATTTCGGCTTCAAAGAGGGTGTGAATCCAGCGTCTGTGGTGATCGCCAATTCCAACGCTTACACGGGGCAGGGGCTGCAGTATGCAGACACTGGCCTGGATGCTTGGTAAGAATTGCTTCGGTAAAACCGTCGAACCTTCCCGCTTTTTGGGCAGATGTTCGCCGCCGAACTGAGGCTGCAGTGTTCCGCGTTGGGGAAGACATCAGGTCCAAGAAAAGGGTCAGAAAGGGGTGCTTCGCACATGTGTCTTTTTGCATCCCTGAGTTTCCAGAGAGACAGACTTCTTTAGTCGAGTTGCATTTGCATCTCCAGGATTTGGTCTATGCTGAGTTGCACGACATCACATCCTTTGATGCGGCGGATGGTCAGCCAACGTTGCCGCCTTTGTTGATGCAGAACCCGCAAGTGCAAGCGTCCATGGCGTTGTTGGCCAATGACACTTGCAGTGTCCATTATCCCTCGACGACGCACGTGGTGCAGGTGAGTTTCCTTTGCAGAAGAATGGTGTGGGTGGGATTTGGGGTGGGTGTGGGATGGGTTTTGAGCCGTCACAAAGGAGGCCATGACCAGAGTGGCTTTGGAGTTCCGCAAAAAATCATGTAGAATCCACCTGAGACGCGATGAAGTCCCAGACCTGAGACGCGCCAGACCTGACACACCTGCTTCTTCGCCTGAAGGTCGTGATGAACGGTGGTGTGACGGTGACCTGGAGGAACAACAGCGACTTACCCGATCACCTGCACCACAAGCCCGGCCACAAGGGTCTCTGGCAGTTGCGCATTGGACCTAATGGCCGGGTCCTGAATGAGGAGGAGTATGTGGCTCGGAGGGAAAAGGTGCAGGGGATCGGGGGTGGTTTCAGTTGTTCATGTGATATGTTGTTTCCAAGTGATAGACATTGATAAACCTTCCTGTATCATGGTTCAAAGTTTATATCTGATACAAACTCCAGTCCCAATGTTTGAGTGTTGTCCACCAAACTGAAGAGTTTGCAAGGGGCTGTAGCTGAGGAGCAGGGTTATAATGACTACATCATTTTCATTCACCCTGAAGGGAGGAACTGGCTTTCCGTCGAAAAGATGGAAATCTGAGTCTGCAAACGACCCCCCTGTCTCCAAGAATCTCAAAGACCCCTCAAGAAAACGCATGTCTTCTTCTCGAGTCCGTTTCCTCACTGATTGACCCGGCGTTTTTTGACCCGCCTTTGCCTTGCCCGCCTTCATTTTTGACGCGCTTTCACGCTTCACCATTGTGAGGGGGAGTCCTTCAATTTGAGGTCGGCATGGGAGATATTTGGGACCCGGACAACATCGTGGACCTTTGTCTGAAGTTGAACTCCACGACCCTGTTGGAGATGGTATCAAAGGGGCTCTATGTGCGAGTCTTTTCAACCAGGAGATACCATTGAATTCTGGATCATTTGAGCTTGCCTGTGTCATATTATCTGTATAATATAATGTATATACATATACATGTATGATATACACATAGAGAAAGAGATAGATTCCATCCCAAAGTGGGAGTCGGGTGTTGGACATTCGTCTTTGAAGCCCAAAAGTGCCACAGAGGAGCTGCTACTACCTGGTCCCACCCAAAGGCGACTGCTTGAGCCCCCTGGTGACGGCCAACTGTGGAGACTCCGCCACACTGCCGCAGGAGACCTGTGTGATGGGCACTGGACCGAGCTGCACAGTGGATGCTGCACAAAGCTACATGCGCACCTTCACGCCAACCCAGGAGGAGAATATCTTCATACCGGTTTGTGAAAAGTGGTCAAAGGATGGCAACGGTTGACTTCTTTACTTGAACTACGGAACCCCCTTGGCCCCTCGGAGTATGTATGTATATATAAATATATGCTTGTTATCCCAGCAAAACAGCCACTTTGCATCTCAAGAAAAAATCTCGGCTCGAGCGCCCGCTCGGTCCTAGCTGGGCACTCGCCCTTCCTTTGGCCAATTTGGCCGTTGCACTGGCGGCTGATAACTGGAGTTGCATCCTCAGCCTTGCAGGCTGAATCAGCCGCTTTGGCCGAAGTGGCCAGAAGGAGGCTAGCGCTACATCGAGGAGACAGTGTATGAACCAAAACACTGAGGTGGAAGAACTCGCCTTGGAAGTTGGCCAACTCCGGATCCGGGTCTCGCGTCGCGAAGGCTACAGATCGACTCCTCAGCGTGTGGGCGCATCCTCTTCTTCTTCTACATCTTCACAGCTCCCCAGCTCGGGTGCCCTTGCAGGCCTTCGGGCCACCGAGCCAGAGGCTCACACAGAGCTGGCTAGCATCTTTTCCTGGTCGGAAGTCGGTGAGGACCTGTCGACATCTGGGCCGTGGACTCGGGAGTGGTTTGAAGCTCTGGCCAGGGCGGACTCACCTACCACATTGAAAGAATTGGACCTCTCCCCTATCTCGCACTTGATCTCACGTCTGAGGACTACCAGTGCGGGGTGGGATCCTGAAGCTCGCTTGGCTCGAGCGCTGAGGGCTGGTGTCTTGGCTAGGCACTGGCTGGACAATCGGCCACTGACGGCCGCCAACGTTGGGGGACCTACTTTGCCCTCAAAGTTCTTCATTGTGCTCAAGGCCGGACCTGGCCTTTCTCCTGGGTGGACGGGGGACTACACTACCTACTTGGGGCAGGTCTGCAAACGACCTCACGAGTTTTGGCCTGGGACAGTGAGAGGCCTTTGCATCCAGAGCTGAAGCTGACGCCTACCTGCTCGGTGCCCAAGAGCCATGGCCTCCGCTTCTGGAGCGCCGCCTATGACCGAGCAGACCCTGAGAGCCCTGTTGAACGACACCCCATCAACAGGGCCCTTACTAGGGGTGCTCCTGGTCCTTCCTTCTCGAGGAGATGGATCAGGTCTGAGAGCCTTAGGCGCTCTCGTACGAGTGCGCACTGGAGGCTTCATGGTTGCTCTGCCAGGCCTGGCAGAAGTCGCAGAGTTCCTTCCATACCTCACCACAGAGGAGGGAGAAGACGATCAAGGGGCTTCCTACACCACCGCGGTGTACATGGAAACTGTTCGTTGCCGCGGACTTCCTGCAGGTCCATGTTTACTTGCCGATGTGCCTTGGATGGTTTCCAAGCATTTCAGGGAGGGGCACCCGCTGAGGAATCCATCTGCATACGAGGTTTTGCGCCTTACTCTCGAACGTGCTCCTTGTCGCCCTCGGCGTTCCGCCCTGCTGGCAAGTTCAGAGCAGTGGATCCGCGAGATCATAAGCGATTACGTGACTGGAGACGACGAGATGTGGCCCGCAGCATCTGTTTTGCCTCCGAGTGGGGCTCAGCAGGAGGAGGAGGTCTCCCTTCTCCAGCAACGGATCACCCAACTCGAAGCAGCGCTCCAGTCACAAGCCGCCTCGCCACTACATGGGGGGGCTCAAGTTGTTCAGCCGCCTCCGCCTCCCAACCGAGGCGTCCTACCTGGCGGTGTTCACACCGTCTCACCACAAGCTGGTCCACAGGATGCCGTCGAAAGACTCAGAGCATTAGCTGGCGTGGCTTTGGTTCGACTAAGGGCGCACGAAAGTGCAGTGCGAGAACAGCGGCCAGAGGGGATCCTGGAGCCCTTGCAACAAGAGGCGGGGTTGGGGGTAGCAGAGTCTGCAGAGCTGGAGGAAGGCATCGCAGATCTGGAACTGGCGTTGACCGACCCACTTCAGAGGATGCTTGTCCTGCAGATGAAGCAGATTGCTATGTTGGCGCGGCAACAGCAACAGCGTCAGACCCCCGATCCATTGACAGCCGCTTTGTCTGGAAGTTCCGGTGGGCAAAGCACGGGCAGAGGCAGCGTCAAAGGTTGCTTAGCTCGCAAAGCTTATCTGGAGCTGACGCAGGATCATGGAAAGGTCGCCTTGGCCGTCATGGAGCACGCCTCTCGAGAACTGGGCATCGCGCACAGTCAAGTGGGGCCGGGGCTCATGGAAGAATACATGGAGAAGAAATGTCCATTAGGCGACAATCGGCTCCTGATCCAACAGGCGTATCGATGGGGCTTTGCGTGGGAGACGGGGCTTCGGACGAACGATGTCGCTCTGATGGGAGTGGCCAGTTGCGGCCTTCTATTCATCGATCAAGCGGCCGTGGACTTTGGTCGCACCAATCTCGGTTGGCCACTGACAGCCTTGCTAGAACCACAGTTCAGCATCGCTCAAAGGAATCGGCGCCGGCAGAGCTTGACCCCGTTCAGCCGCCCTGTGGCGGCCAGCTGGGTGGAAGCGAACGAAGCTTTCATGAGAGACCTCGATTACCTCGAAACAAAAATCAAGGGGGAGAACAATTTCATCCTCTTGAGAGAGGCGAAGGAAGCTGGCGACGAGACCGCCCAAGCCACAAAGAAGGCTCCTTGGAAGCCCAAGAAGAAACAGAAGGAAGACAGCGAGCAGAGCTGAAGCCCACAGCCCGCAGAACCTCACATCCATCCCCGAACCTGTGTTCTCCTTTGCCGTCCTCTTCTTTGCCAGAGCAGAGGGATTGTCTCCCTACTGCTTCTCACGGTCGGGGGGAGCACAAGGGCTGGGTCGATGAGACTTCCGTTGGTGAGGGAAGGGCAAGTGGGAGCAGCATGAGTCAGGTGAGGAAAAAGGCTCCTCACGTTGAGTCAAGGGCCGCTTTGAAGCCTCAGATTCATGGAGCCACCTTTCCTCAGTCAATTAGATGCATTGAGTTGTTTTTAGCCTCCCTGAAGACCGCGCATTCCTGCCCAAAGCTGGATTGGTTCATTAGGAGAAGCTTGGAGCCTTGCCGCACCGTTTTACCTCAAGGTCGCCCACGAAGTGACCTGTGGCCGTGTCCCCCACCTAGCAGTGGTTGTTGGACACCAGCCAACTTAGTTTCTCCTCGCCGCAGACGGCGACAGAGGTTCTATCGAACACGAGCTCTTTGCATGCAGCATTTGGTCATCACCCTTAACTGGTTGAGCCTTGGTTGCAGCAGCTCGCCTCCCGCTCATGCTCGGGTTGGACACCCGATTTCAGAGACGCAGCATAAGATGCTTGAACGCCTGGAGGACCTGGTCGACTACGCTCTGAAAGGAGAGGATGTGACCTTTGACTCCCTAGGCCGCGCCGGAGAGAAGCTAAGCAAATTGAGTGCACTTTCCTTTTCTTTGCACGAGTCCGCTGGTTCTTTTGATCTAGTTGATATTGAGAGTTTTTTAAAATCCATTCATGAGTCATTTGATGCATATTCCAAACCACGTGCTGCAGCGACCCGACATGCTGACCACCCTGCGGAAGAGCCTGTGGAGTCAGACAGCGAACCTCAAGATATCCCTCGCCCGACGAGGCCTGAGGTCAGAGTCCCGACGAATGCCTGCACAGCAAAACCTGTTGTTGCTAGCCACATCAAGTGGAAACTTGCCCCCTCATTTGATCCTCGTCCTTTTTTGAGTGATGATATAGTCAGGCAGGCTTTTGAAGACCCTGACGTCCTACGAAAGCCGGAGAGCTCTTGGCCTCGGATGGGGAAGGCAAAAGTCCACGCCACTCGAGACGAGATCCTCGCCCTAGCTGCGAAGTGGGACGCCCTTGGAGCGTGCCAGTTGATTGCAAAGCATTCAGTTCGTTTGGAAGAGACTGTAGGGATCTTTGGTGTTCCGAAGGACGAAGAATTTGACCGCCTTATTCTGAATCCTACTGTCGTGAACTCCCGGTCCTACTCGTACTCAAACTTCACACGAACAATAGCTCCTGGGTATCTGATTGCGCTGATTCAGTTGGGCGAGGAGGAATGTCTGCTTTGCTCGTCGGACGACCTCTGCGAATTTTACTATACCTTCCGGGTCTCAAGTAAGCGTGCATGCAGGAACGCTATTGGTGTCCCATTCAGAGCAACAGAACTTGCACACCTTTCTTGTTTTGATCCATCCAAGCATCGAGGTGAGTTGTTGGTGTGTTTGGCCACGCTCGCAATGGGAGACTCGCTGGCGGTTGAGATTGCACAGCAAGCTCATGTGAACCTGCTGAAAAACAAAGCGGACTGCATGAGGGCGGAGGAGTGTTTGTTGTATCGGCAGCCGATCCCCAGAGGATCGTTTTTCGAGTTGTTGACAATTGATGACCACATAGGACTTCAGAAAGCTCGTCGATCGGGGGGCTCCTTCGTCTGCAACGACAGGGATCTTGAGGTTTTTACAGCAGCAAACAGAGCATACACCACTGTTGGCCTCACTGCGCACCCGGGCAAGAGACAACGCAGAGCATTACACGCTACGGTGCTTGGCGCCGAAGTCGATGGCTCTCGAGGTCGAGTGTCAGCCCCACGGGGTAGGGTGGCCATGTTGTGCTTCATCACTGCTGTTGTTGTAAAGAAAGGACTTGTCACACGAAAGTTACTTCAAGGCCTTATAGGATGCTGGACCCACATTCTCCTGTTTCGACGTCCCGCTTTTTCAGTTTTGGACAAGGTCTATCAAGAAGGTGCCAGCTCCCATGAAGACCTGGTGTTCAAGATGTCAAAGCAATGCAGAGCCGAACTAATGAGCCTGTGTTTGATTGCCCCAACTTTGCAGACTGATATGCGAGTAAGAACTGCGCCAGAGATCTTCATGCTTGACGCCTCTCCCTTCGGGGGGGGCATTTGCCGCGCAGCCATGCCCTCCGCCGTTGTTGATGAATTTTGGAGGCACTCTGAACAAAGAGGGTTTTACACAAAACTTCAACAAGGGGTTGGACTAGGGCTCAGGGAGATCGGTATGGAGCATTGTGAAACTTTTGGTGGACCTGAAGTTCGACCAGTGGAGCAGGATTTCAGTCTTACTTCAGAGTTGACAAACTCGTTGCTTGACAATACAATCGCCTATGATTGCATTGAACTGTTTGCAGGTGTCGGCAATTGGAGCAAAGCACACGCCCGCAGGGGCTTGAGAGTGCATCCAGGCGTTGAACGGACTGCTGTGGGCCGGGGCTACGGAGACTTGTTTGATAATCGAACTTTCAGGGACCTTGCCCACCTAGCATACTCTGGAGCCGTAAAGGAGTGGCACGCAGCTCCACCATGCTGGTCATTTGGAACGTTGAGACGCCCCCGATTGAGATCTAAGCTTTGCCCGGCAGGTTTCAATCCCGAGGATAAGCAAACTAAGGAGCAAACGTTGTCGGCAGTTCGAACCGCCCTCATTTTGTTTCTTGCCCTCGGCAGTGGGAGCTTCATCTCTTGTGAACAGCCTGGAGGGTCAGTGATGTTTGAACTTCAGATTTTTCAGAGACTCATTGCAGCTGGTTGCGCTCTTACCAAATTTTGCTTTTGCAGCTACGGTTCCGGTTTTCAAAAAGCTAGCAAATGGTTGCATAACAAGCCTTGGTGTGCAGCCCTAGGTGGAGCTTGCAAATGCCCATACAAGGGCTGCCATTTCACAGTTCAAGGCACCTTTACAGCAGGGAGCATTGAGTTGTTTGAAGCTAGATGCCGCCCATCGGCTAAGGCCGTATATGGTAAGACTCCCAGACCTGGGGAAGCCGTTAGTGCATTTTCAGCAAGCTACCCGATTCCTCTGTGCGAGGCAATGAGCGCGGGCAGCCTACAAGCGCATAGCTCAGGGCCTCAAGATTCAAACGTTGCTCTGCCGGAAGAAGATCGCAGAGCTGCCTCGGTTTTAGATCCGGACGAGCTACGCCCCTGGCATGACGACCCTGAGTGGATTGAAGATGTTTGCGAAAGTGTCGCATTTAGTGAGCTTTTTCGTTACCGGTTCAAGAAATCCGGTCACATCAACTGCTTGGAGTGCCGTGTCTACAAGTCGTGGTTGAAGCATGTTTCAAAATGTCACCCGCAAACGCGGGTGCTTGGTCTCCTGGATTCAAGGGTCACTATGGGGGCTGCGGCTAAAGGTCGCAGTAGCAGTCCGGCTTTGAGCCGAATCCTTAGAGGAAGTTTGGGCTACATCTTGGGGGGCTGTCTTTACCCTGGAACTTTACACTGCAGGTCTCAGTGGAACAGAGCTGACGGGCCGTCACGTGACAGTGATGTCCCAGGCCCTTCACGTCCAGAACCCTTGTGGTTGGAGCAGTTGCGTGTTGGTCGAACAAGTGGCTTTGACACGATGATCGCTTCAGCAACTTGGATCCGGCCGCTTGGTAGGTGGTATCGCTTGCTGTTGCTCCTCGCTGGAGATGTCGAGCAGAACCCTGGCCCGATTTGCAATGGCAATCGGGCCCCTCGTTACGATCTCAACTTGATAGGCTGGTTTGCACGGGCGCCCTCTGACAGGCTGGCCGAATGCTTGACAACTTTTGGTTTGTGGTGTGAGACCTATGCAGGTTTGACTCTTGAGCTGGTTGTTTTTTGTGTTGAGATCACAAACTTGGCCTTAACGGCCTATGGTCTTGCATCGTTCGAACAAACTTCACTCCTGTATATGTTGGTGTATGCCATTACTGCAGTCCAGCAGGTGAAGCCCGAATATCGTCATCACTTGAGCGGATCTTGGCAAGTTGACAAAAAGTGGCGACTGGAAGAACCTGGCTCTCGCCAGGGCGTCCTTTTAGCGCCTATTTCTTGTGCAATCCTTGGCCTGGCTCTCCTCTCTGGGGGTGCTCGCATTTGCTGGAACCATGGCACCGGATTTGGGGGTATGTTCCACCCCTGTCGTTTCAATGGCTGTACCCTACCAAACTTCATGTTCCTCTGTTTTTGGTTTGCGTTGCAGGAGATTGAGGATGGAAGAGGCAGCAGCATGGTGCATTGCAGTTCAGTCGTGCATTGAGCATTGTACTTTGTGCATGAGCATTGAACTTGGCCGAAGTTGATTTGTTCGTTGCAGTTGCCTCCTCAGTTGAGTTTCACTCACGCTTGGGCATCTTAGCAAAGAGCGGCAAAAGAAGCGTGGGATATGTATATACTTTCGGGGCATATGTTCCTACTTTTGGCCCTTGATGCAAAAACCAAGAGGAGCTGGACAGTCTGATTTGTGACTTTGACGCTGAACCGCTGATTGTTCCCATTTTGCCTGAACAACCATCCTCCACGAGCTTTGCACCATCCTCCACCGTCCAGACTTCCGCAACATCAGCAACATCCCTATACAGAGGAGTTTTCATGACTTTCCTTGTCACGTCTCTATCGCAGGCGTGATCTCTGTCTTCTTGCATGGAACATGAATCACAAGTGGTGCTGGAGAACAGATTGCTCACCAACGGGACAATGAATCCCGGTTAAAAAACCCTGACCATCTGACCCGAATGCAGGAGGTCTTGTGAGCGTTTGTGAACCTGAAAGCCATCGGACACCTTTTTGGTCAGAAAACCCCACGAGTCAGTTTCACTCTTCCATTTGGTCAGTTTCCTCGGTCAGTGGGTCAATTTAATTTGCGTGGTTTCACTCTTCCACGGCCAAGGCGGATGGTCGGTGGAAGACTTGGTGTCTGAAATTCCAAGCCGCCGTCTTTCAAGCTGCGAAGGAAAACCGTAGGTGCCTGCCATTCAAAACCTTCAGTGTTCGTCCAGATACAAAGAGAAACGTCCATAGCACAGAGAGTCAGGTCTTTCCCAAGAAGCGCCTCTTGCATTGAAAAGGAAGTCTGATTTTGTCCAGTTTTCGCATGGCTCCTGGTCTTTACATGGCTCCCAGTGGTCCTGCAGAGTCACCGTTAAGTCCTTCAATGTCCATCCATGATTTCCGCCAGTCCATTGAGTTTCTTCCTTTGGTACATGTTTTTGGTAGTGCAGGAGGGTCTTCCTTCAGTCGATTTTTCACCCTGTTCATTCCGGGACCGCAGAGATTCGCTGGATTGAACAAACCACCGAAGCAGAGAATGGAAGGTTCTAGCCCACGTGGGAGATCATTTTCTCTACAAACAGGGTCTATTGAGGAAAATTGATTCTGTGGGTTCTCCTTCAGAGGGAAAGCTGCCAGGGGTCCAGATCCTGTGAAAAGAGATCCTCAAATCCTGCGCAAACGCACCTGTTTGCTTTGTATTTTTCTCAGGTGAACCTGCTCTAGGCAGTGCGCGGCAATGCAGTCGGACAGCTCAGGTGGAAGGGCGGTACGGCGGTACATCGCGCCGCAAGAAAGGAACACCCAGCGATCGGCTTAGCAGTCCCGAACATCCCTTTTTGACGAGAGAAGTGGGTGCAACGGTGGTGACATGTTCCGAGGAAGAACAACCCCATTGTCTGTCTCTTCGCGATGTCAAAAGAACGTGGAAGACTTGTCGGTCGAGTCTCACGATCTTGTGTTACTATGGGATTGTGATGCGTGCCAGGCGGGGGACACACGTGCAGTCTTACCAGGCTCTTACCTTATGGGTGGCAAGGTTTGGCATCCGCAAGTGGACACTTAGCACTTTCCTTTTGAGAACACTTAAGCTGGTTGAAGCACCGTATTCCCTTGGACTGTACTATACTCCAAGGTTCGTTGTTGTTGCTATTTTGGAAATTCAACAAAACTCGCCTTTGGGATTTGAGCCATAAGACGTCTCTGAGGAGTGTAGGTTCAACTTTCTATTCAAACAGACAACATTATACAACAGCAGCAGCACTTCTTCCAAACCTGGGTGAAGCCAAAAGCCCAAAGTTGCCCGATGTAGGAAGTCAAAAGAGATCACTTTGAGATGTGATGTCGAAAAAACACATATCACGAATGGTTTTGGGTTTTGGTTGCCGTGCTCAAATACTGGGCGCTTGGGAAGGCCTGCTCAAATACTGGTGCTCAAAAATACTGGTGCTCTCCCAAGTCCCTCGTCCGAAGCTCCACTCCTTCTTCCATATGGCCGTTCTCCGGGCCTCGTGAACAGAATCGACGCAGGTGGCCCACCCAAACCAGGATTTGGAACTCCAAGTCTTGACCCACTCCCATCCTCCATGAATTTCTGGTCCCTCTGTTCCTCCCGCTCGACTCCCAGACGCGTGCCTGCCACGATGATGGGCGAGCTATTTCTGAGATACAGACTTGTATTTATGTACAGGGTTCGCGAAAGGGCTTGCAGGGACGCGACTTAGTCTAGACATGCTGCCTTGAGACTCCTCGCCCGCAAAAACAAGCGGTTGAATCTCTGCTAATAGCGACACTGGTAGCGATGCTTTGTTTGTTCTGATTTGTATTGCGACACTGGTAGTACCGGTGTCTACTTTAAAGCAGTGGGTGCTGTTGGTGCAAAAAGGCAGCGTCTCGGCCGTTCCTCATCTCCTTGGGTCCGAAACTTCGCTTGGATGGATCGCGGACATTTCGCGGATGGGTTCGAGACGGGAAGAGACGGGACTGTGGACCACTGCCGCGCCCTGGCATGTGAGTCAAACCAGGACATGTGTTTTGACGAAGTCTCCGCACCTTGGGAGTCACCCACTAAAACCCACTAAGTCCCTACCATTTCGGAGTCAAATGAGTCAAACTTGGACTCTAAGGGATGGACCGGAAGCAGGTCGGAACCACTCTTCAGGTTTCGGCGTGCTCCCTTGTGTTGCCACTGCCGCTCTGTGCCGCTCCTGTGTCAAACAGTAGATGAGAAGAAATGAATTGATATGTTGACCCCACTCACTCCGCTGGATTCGCATGCTTCTTTTCTTTCTCACCGACTTCCAGGTCATAGGACGGCAAGAAATGAACAAAGAACTGAAGGGACATCTTGTTGTACGGTGACTGGACTACGGACTACTTCAATCAAGATTTCAAGAATACATCTCTTGTATGGATATCCTGTGATATGCTCTCGCACTAACTTGCACCGTGGTTGTTCAGCTTCGCATGTTGCAGATGGAAGTGAGATGGCAACTTGGCCCCAATGAACGACTATATATCGTTGTCATATATTATTACCATGGGTTCCTCTCAGCATGTTTAACTGTTTCATCCCTTCCATTGGACGGGCGCCTTTAGTTTGAAACCTCCATCCATGTCTCTCGGCGCATGAGCCCTTTGGATGTGGTGGGATGCGGATTCGAGCTGGGCCTCAGCGAGGCCGGGTGGGACACCCGACGCCGACCCTCCGGGCCCGCGTGGCCAGCTGGTGCGAACGGGAGAGAGTTCTCAGGAAGGACCGGAAACAGACGGCCTGACGATATGGGGGGGCATTGAACAGGTCTTTGGAGCTGTGCAGTTGGTTTTCAATGGGGTGAATGGCCATGGCAGCATTCTCACAAGTTGAGAATTGAATGATCTGCAGGTGGCATCAGCTGGTGGCATTACAGCACTGCGCCGTAGGCGCGTGCTGAATCCCTGAGTCTTGCGTATCCTTGCAAAAGCATCCTTACCAGCCTGATCCATCATTGACGATAGTGACGACCAGAACTTGACAAGACGCATTGTGGCTGATTGAAACATATTGAAAAGTCAAACACATCATTTCTGAAAGCCATCATCTACAGAAGTCCCATGAAGTCTGTGATTCGCTTCCCTCCAAGGCACCTGCGCTCCGTTGCCTGTGGCACCTGCGCTTCCGGCGGTGAAAGGCGAGCGGCGACCACGCCGGAATCGGTGGTCCAAACGGAGTTCAGCCGGCCTCAAGGCCCAGGACTAAGTCCTGGAGAGTTGTCTTTCTCACTGGTGCGTAGGGGAATGACCTCCAAAACGAGATTTTTTAAGGATCTCTTCCCTCATTCCTTACCAAGCACCATCTCCTTCCGAACCCCCACGGCCTGCCGACCGCCTGTGCAGGCGAGGCCGCCTTCGCCCCGCCGACTTCGGCGGTGCGGGCGGCAGAACTGGGGACGACGAATGGGGAGAAACAGCGAGAAACTGTTTGAGGCATGGAGAAACATTTAATGTAGTTTCATGTTTTTGAAGGGTCTGACGCCCAACAGCTGGCCAATCCTGGCCAACGGTGAGGGCAGGAGGATGGTCGAGACGGTCGGCAGAGTTCTTTCCTTTTCTTACATTTTGCTATACCACGACGTCTTGATTGATCTATCTGGATAGATCATGATTAATCATGATAGATTCTCCAGCCCAGCTCTGGGCTTAGGTGTTACAAGTTTGGATATCACTCACGGAACCCCAAGCAATTCTTTAAAGAAATGACAGGTCCAAATCCATCAAATCCTGGTGAAGCTGGCCATAGTTGGCCCAAAGGAGTAAGGATCACTCCACCTCCAGGATCATCCACTTGGGCTGGTGACCCCATTTCCGGTCTTCCACCCAGGTGCCAAGCACCCCTGCGACCCACTCCGCAGAGCACGGCGCGGCGGAGCACGGAGCAGCCCGGCGAGTGGGGGGGCCTGGGGCGTCGGGACCATAGACGCGAGGGGTTTTTCTCGGTGCGAACAAGGGCTGAAAACCAGCAAAATTGGTCGTGCCGGTGGACGTTCCGAGTGAGGTGACCACCCGGCTGCCTCAAGCGAAGGCATGGGATGGGGCCATTGCTCGGCAAGGGCAGTAGTTGGTTGTAGCTTCGATTTCTTGGGTCCAACTTGGGGCCCTTTGCTCAATTGGTCCAATTTGGTGCCCTTCTATTTTCGGGTCCAGAGATAGACATGCCCTATAGCATCACTGCATGACCTATTCAAACCCTGATTTTTTGGGGTCAATGGGGCAGCAAGTGGCAGCATTTCGTCTTCCAGTCCCATGGATGGTTTGAGTATGGGACTGAGCTTGGGACTGCTCGATGTCTCGTTCTGTTTGCCTCGAGGCGAAGGCGAAGACGAGTGGTCTACTGGTTCGAATTTCCAGCCATGTGCTACTGGGACAAGAAAGTGAAGTTGGGAGGATGGATAGAAGTTTGCCACAACCAGATGTTTTCTATAGCTTCTTTTCTCTCACCTTGGCAAGATTTGATGGGCAAATTTAGACAGCACTTATAGATTCAACATGATTCAACATCATTCATCATTCGACTACCCCTGTGAACATGAAGATGGGAGACCCGTGACGACAGGATGTTCGTTGCGGGGAATGCTTTGGCAAACCGTCCGGAGTTTGGCAAGACTGGACATGTTCAAACTACTTCACATGCCTCTGCCAGTTTGCCGCACCACGCAGACTATTCTTGCTTCAGGCCTGTATGCCATCCAGACAGAATAGACAGAATCTCTCAGTTCGTGGGTTCAGTTCAAACGTCATCCATGGATGATTGACATTGTGGGTGCTATTGGTTGGTTGGTTGGGTTGGGTTGGGTTGGGTTGGGTTGGGTTGGGTTGGTTGGTTGGTTGGTACAGCGATCAACCCTGCCCTTAGCATCTCCTGTTCTACTTCTCTAGTGGGGCTACTTTTGGAGGCACAGACACAACACAGCGTGCATTTCAGTTGCCAAACCTCCGCGGTCGCGACGGAGCCTGTGACACGGGCCGAGGCAAAGCTTCGACGACCATCTCGATGCGGAAGGAGCGGAAACACGAAGCCACACATGGGGAAGAACATGTTGAATTCTTTGTTTTTATGTTTCTTTTATGTTTCTTTCTGTCAAGTTCTTGTTTTTCCCCCATGGTTTCTTTCTGATTACTGAAGCTACTCGACCTGACATCCCTTTGCATATTATGAAACAAGGCCTTGTCGAGGCCTGCCAAAGACAAACAGATAGTCTTTCGGATGAACTGACCGTCCAACATGGCCAACCTGTGTTTAGAGGCTTCATCACAAAGCCTCCAGTGACTCGGACTGAACCCACCAACTGAACGGACCGAACCTCGCCAACAGCGAACTTTGGGGGCGGCCCGCACCCGGCCACACCCGCACGGCCGCGCCCGGCCGCGCGAGGACTTCATCTCAGGGACTTGGTCCTCGAAGGCCTTCGCTCCGAGGCGGGACCGCGAGGTCGGGTTTGGCGAGGGGTCTGGCGGGAGGGCGGGAGGAGGAACCGTTCTGATGGAGCCAATGGAGCAAGCCATGTGTATGCTAAAAATCATCTCCTCCATGGAGTCCAACAAACTGATCCATGAGAGGCAGAACATCACTCTTTTGGGGGCGGTGAGGGCCATGTTCTTTTGAAAGACACCCTGTTTTGAGGCTGCTCTTTTGTCCGACTTCCTGCGAAGTGGTTGGTGATGAAAGCGGCGAGGTCTTGGGGGGGGTCAGAGGACAAACAAGGTGGGTGTGTGTGGTGACCCGCAAGAGTTTTTTCTCCTTCCTTCCCTCACCCGGCCTATCCAAACACCATCCTCCTGTGCCCTTCCCAAGATTGAGGCAACCAGCATGCGGCACTTGGAACACAACTTTCTCTCATGCGGCACTTGCCACTTTCTTTTGCACCACTTTAGAACAGGTCGCTCAAGCCCAACGCAGCTTTTCTAGCTTACCTTACCTCACTGTTGGCTGTTTTGGGCTTGGCATCATCTTCTGCTCGAACCGAAGACCACCGGATCTCGCCGCTGAAGCGGGCCGAACCGAGCGTCCCACCCGAGGCCTGCGGGCGCACCGGTCGGCGCGGCATCCAGGCACCGGCGTCGGTGGGATGTGCAACACCCTGGTGTTTTGACATCAAAAAGCCTGCACTCATCGCACATGGGCGATGTGTTCTCATCGCACGAGAGCTACGTCCTGGGCGGATTCAGCTCCTGGCGTCTCGTACCTGCCATGCCCTTTGTCCGACGGCTCGTCATGTGTTTGCTGAAACCGTGGAGGTGAGCGACAGCGAGGACGAGAGCCAAGGCGGCGTAGTGGAGGACGCGGTGTTGTGGGTCTTCTGGTTAATGAGCAACATTCTGAACAGCGCTACAAATCCGATCTCCGATCCTTTGCATCACTGTTTTTGAGATTGATCAGTTGCGCTTGTGGTAGAGGATCATGAACATTCTTCCTTCGGTTCTTGGATATTCTCTTGTCAACCCGGGATAGGTTCAGAAGGACAGAACCTCCGGGGGGAGTCTATCCTGATCTATCCGAGTCTATTTCGCTGTTGGAAGACAGATTCTTGTAAGACGGGGACTCTTAAACTGGGGAACCTGAACATGAAGAATCAACATGGTCCCCAAGTCTAACGGTGCCAATATGTGCCAATGTTATCCAATATTCGTTTTTTTGCGAAAGGATCTGAGAGAACTGACGAGGAAAAACATCCACATGTCACATGACACCTCCAGTTGCCGTTTTGCCACGAGAAGGAAGGAGTACTCCATGTATGGCATATATACAGTATATACACCTTCATTGGCCCTAGTCTCCGGGAATCATGTCAACATTGAATTGATTGAGCTTTTGGGGTGGGGGGGGAAGTGTCTGGGGTCAAGGGTTGTATATTTTTTCGTCCATCGGTAGGTAGGTATACATTCCACGCAGTGTTTGGGGCCCAGGGGGTTTATCACATGTGGCTGGACCCGTGACCACAGGTGCTGTCCGACCAAGGCATGGGGGATGGGCCGATGATGGGGCATGGGGGATTGAATGGCAGCTTTCCGCGGTGAAGAAACAGATGTTTTTTTTGATTCGTGTGGTGCTTTTTTTGGGATACCAGGTGAACGTTCAACAGTTGTATTTTTTCCCAGATGGCGAAGCTATGGGGTTCTTACTTCAAATAACAATAAGCTATCTGGGTCTATGCTGGTGTACTTGTTTTTTTGGGGGATGATGCCAGGATGGACTTCTTTCATCAACTTGACAGTAGACAAGCATGAGAAATGCAGTATGGCCACATGAGGGATGGGCCAAGAATGAAGAGCAAGATCCAGTGTCAGGTATTTGGCTGCTGAAGCGAGCGTGTTGCTTTGCATTTTAGCCGTGCTCCTGAAAGAGACCTTCTGTTCATCCTCCTGCTGTATGTGGATACGATCCACTGTGCTTAAAAGGATGGTCTGGCTCCAAGGTTGGTCACTCTTCCAGTCGGCTGACCGCCACCCAGGGTCCTCCCTCCCGCCTCAACGGACTCGTTTTGGTCAAACTTGGTTTTTCACCGCCACGCCCCGGTTCTCTTCTGAACTTCTCCAGGGCTGAAGAGGTGGAAGGGATATACATACATATATATATATATATATATTCCCACCAAGGCGGCCACTCAGCATTCCAACTTGAAGATGGATGCCGATGGACCCTCCAAAGTATTCTAGAAAATGGGACATGGCCATCATGGCCCTATAAAACAGGTACATGATGGTACTTGTACCCATTGTCTGAGGTACCTTGAGGCTCCAGGTCGATGGAGAACGGCAGGATTCTTCGGTTCCGAGGCTATCCGGAGTTTTCGAAGCGAACTCGAAGTCACACGATGCGGAGGCGACCGGAAGCCTCACCAAGCCCGGAGGAGTCCAAAGAGGACCCGTGGAGCGTTCATTGGGGAACTCCCAAGCCAGGAGCACGTGGAGCTAACATCGAAAAACAAAAAGCATGTTCAAGCCAGCAAGCTATGGGGAAGGCACCCCATTTGTTATCATTTGTTCCTGTTCAAGAGTTTGTTTCCGACCACGGGGAGACAGCTTGAGGTACGTCCCTCCCTTCTCACGCGCAACCGCACCGTGTGCCGTCGCTGAAACACGTGTTTTCGGGTCCTCCGTCCGCCTCCCCCACCGCGGTGAAACGGCGGTCCAGGACGACGCGGGCACGGCGCACTCGGACACCGTCTTGCACTTGCGGAACTTCCTGGAGCGACCCCGGTCCCGAAACCGACACCAATCGATCGATCGATCGATCGATCGATCGCAGATTTGGTGGGTGGAGACCGGGTCTTTCGATGGTGCCCAAACAATGGGGGCGATGCCAACCTTGGCACTGTCGTGGGAGGGACTTCCTAATGGTCTTAATGAATGTGGATGACTTTTTCCTTTAGCTTTCCTCATAGTTTATATAGCTTATGTTGTCTTTTAGTCCGCAGAGATTCCTTTTTCACTGCTTTCAACAGACAAGCCAGATGAGCCCCAAAAACATGTGATTTGTCACACTACCAAACTCTATTTTGAAGCGATCCATATTCCATATTCTATCAGCTACAGGATCATGATGGTATGGCTGTGGGTCAACACTCTCCACCTGCTCGTGCTTGATTTCAGGGATACTTCCCCTAGTAAATGGAGATTGTCTTCGCAGTGGTGAAAGACGATCCTTGGTTGTTGCCCGCCCACTCTGCCTTGGCATCTTCCAGATTCAGGGTGGCGATGGGCTCCAACACCAGCCCTGGAGCCCCAAAAAAGACCGTCCGGTCTGTTGGCGTCGCGTCGTTCCGAGCACAGGAGTCGGGTGGCTGGAATTGTTGCCTCCTGGAGCGCCACAGCGCTGGTCGCCCGGTGCTACGCCGCCCGGGCGGCTCAGTGCAGCGGTTGGGTGGAGAGAAAACCACACAAGCACAGGATTTGGAGAGGTCATTGATGCACGTGAGGTCTGACCGTTTCAGTCACGAAGTTTTTAATGAGGAAGAGGCACTCCAAATGAGGACTCAAGGAATTTGCTAAAAACAGCATCTTTTCTCACTTCTGGTTTGACTACTGAACTGCTTGGAGGAAGAGAACTGCTGGGTGCACTAGATGCACATCACCCCCTGTACACATTGGCACTTTAGGAAGATCAGACGAACATTGAACAAAATCGGTGGTGCCTGAACTTAAATCACTTCTGTGCTGTCCACATTTTTCTCGTGATGCTTTACCCGTGGGATCCCCGCTGAAATAAGCAAGGCACATTCTCCATGTCATTCACTTTACCCGTGGGCCAACGAGCTGCTCGTAGTCTGTGACCTTTCTGCAGCCTAAGCACCCCGTGAGAGTCCAAGTCGGACTCATTTTTACATCACCCCTGTGGTAGTGACTGAAGTGTGACTCCCAAGTAGGGTCCAACGACTCCCCAAACAGACCTCTCGATCGTCGGCCCGGGCCCGTTCGCGCCGATGACCGGGCTGCACAGGTGAGCGGATGCCCTTCGCGCGGCATGCGGCGTGGCAGCGCCTGCGGAGCGCCAGCATGCAGGTCGGGTGGTTGAGGGTGGACAGTAGTGCCGCCAAGCGGCGAGGATGTTGGACAGTCTAATAAGAATATGTCGGACAGTCACCAATCGTCTTCAGGTTCGGTTGTCTTCCTAAAACTCTTAGTGACTGATCGCGAATGAAGATATCTCTGATGAAAGAGAGATGTGAACCCTTCTCCTTCCAAGGTGGTTTCACCGCAACTGACTTGGCTGGTTGGTGGTCTGCAGAGGTAGTGCACCTGGGTGGGTCAGTTCGCCGGTTTCCGACGGCAGGAGGGAGTCACTGCGCGCGGTTGGGTGCGGAATCCCAGCGCAAGCTGGAGGAATCCTATGACCAGGTGTGAGACACTTACCTTGGCCAGTATAGCGGAGAACTCTTGTGGTTCGTTTGTGGCTTGGCTCAAAAGCATCGAAGGTACACGTGCGTGTGTGAAGGGCGGCATTGGGTCCTTCTGATCCTTGGAGCGTGTCCCACCCAGGTGTGTGCTCACCATGAGAAGCACGGAGCGATCGCTGGGACCCTTGGAGAGGGATCTGCGCAGCCACCGGCGCCACGAAGCCGCGAAGCCACAGACCCCGTCAGAAGGGGTGCTCGGTCGATGCTCCCCTGGCAGAGTGCCTTTTTTTTTGGGGGGGGTTACGCCATGTCTGGAAAGGCATCAAGGCCTGCATGAGAATCGGTATCAAGGCCTACAAATCATTGACTCTGCTCATCTCCATTCCATTTTGAGCGACACAAACATGTAAGATAAAACATGTGCGGTGGGACACATTGAATTTTTTTCTTGCGTACCAACACTCTAGGGGCCGTTGCCCATAAATGGGAGGGTCGGGAATAATTGAACATCCTAGTACAGGAGCGACCTGATTGTTGTAAGCATTATTGTAAACACGACGTCAAGAAGCAAGGGGGTCTGGACCTTTCTCTCGGGAATCCCAAGGCAGCAGGCAGGTTTCTCCTGGATCGCTCAAGGTGCGCCTCATGGCGGTCGAGGTGCCCCAGGCGGGGAGAAGACCCCAATGTGTTTGGTGGAAAGTCCTATGGATCCGACTGTGATGTTGGGTGCAAAAGATGGGCCCCTGAAGTTAGACTGAGCCCCATGTACTGCAAACATCTATTATGACGATTAGTATATACTATGTAATTACTTTGTATATAGGACAGAAAGAACTCCGAAGACATTCTCAATGCATTTTTTGGAAGGTTTGCTGTTTTTTTTTTCAATTTTCTTTGGGGTTCTCTAAACGGCTTGGAAGGACAAGTGCCTTTTGGCACAAACCGCTTGATCATTGCTTGCGTGTCACTAGAAGTAGTCGGCCACGGCTGTCCAAGCATGTGGATTGGTCAACCGTTGCATCCCAAGTCAACACTTTCTTGTGATGGTTTCCAGCAGACCCAGGTGGAAGATGGGGCCAGAGAGCCCAGAAATGGTGGACTGAAGGGCCGCCAGGGCCGAGGATGGCGGCTGCCACTGGAGATTTCTCTCATGCTGGGTGAGTCACGCAAAGCCATGGTTAACCTCAGACTAAGCCAACTGGGTAACTAGCGAGCAGCTCTATGATGAACGTCTCTGCACAAGAAGAGATCTGCTTACACTCCCCGCTGTGCTGGCGTACAAAGAAGCAAGTAGATGGAATTTGGAACACATCGAGACCGCTTGTTTAAACATATATATATATAACAATATAAATCACGAAATGGGTAGTAGCATCTAAAGTTCTTTCTGGACATGCACCATATTATGTCTTCTGTTTTTTTTTCAGGCATAATATCTCTCTTCGCGCAATTTCCAGTTTTCCATTCGAATCCACTGAATCCCCGGCTGAGGCCGAGGAGAAGCCAGGCGAGGGGGTGCCGAGAGCCGAGATCGATGGACCTCGCTGGGCATCTCCCACGGATCCACGGATGGACATCAATTTCTTGTAATCATTTGACGTCTGTGGAGCGGATGGATTTTTGGAAGAACGTCATTTTCTTGTAGAAATCTCAATCTTTTCTTTTGTATTTTTGTCCTGTTTAAGGGGCTTGGTCGAAAAGGACCTTCCATGAACAGCGTCTTTGGTGACTCCCTGACAAAGGGGCTTTGGTCTGGTTGATCTTTATGAGCATTTCTTCTTGTGGGGTCCATGTTTGAGGCACTTCCATAGATATCCTTGTGTCTTACTATCCTTGTTCCATGTATTCTCAGAGCTTTGACGCGGACAGCACGCTTGCACGCAAGACTCCCGACCTTGATGATTCGCAGACAGCGACAGCTTGGATTGCAGTGCCCCCTTGATTCTTTCCACTGGAAAGTCCCCTACCGTGCCCCCTGGTCAGGATTCTTTCCAGTGCCCCCTGGATTGAGTTTTTCCAGTGCCGCCCCTTACCCTTGTGGGGGACCTGATGGCATTTCCGATCCCGGCATCGCCCCGGTATCGGCTCGGCCTTCACAGGCTTGGCGTCCACGAGCAAAGCGGAAAGTCCCCTACCGTTGGGGGCCATGGCGGCGGTGCTGGGTTTGAAAGAAGGCTGAAGATCATCAAAGAATTCTCACACCACTCATGATTCTTTCAAACTCTTATTCATTTCTTATGATTCTTTGTGTGGAGTTGGTTGTTCCCCAGATAGCGAAGCTATGGGGTTCTTACTTCAAATAACAATGACTTGCCCGTGCGCGCTTTCGAGACAGGTTGCTGGTGCTGGTGCTGGGTGCCGGTGCTGGTGGTGTGAGCTGGCTGTGCACGTGGTGGAGACAGGTTGCTGGTGCTGGTGCTGGGTGCCGGGTGCCGGCGCTGGTGCTGGAGCTGTGAGCTGGCTGTGCACGTGGTGTTGCTGGTGCCGCTGCTGGGCTGTTGCTGTGAGCTGGCTGTGCACTTGGTGGTGCTGTGAGCTGGCTGTGCGCGTGGTGGAGACAGGGTGCCGGTGCTGGGTGCTGGTAGTGCGCGTGGTGGAGACAGCGGGTGCTGGTGCTGCTGGTGCTCGGTGCTGTGATCTGGCAGTGCGCGTGGTGGAGACTGGGTGCCGGTGCTGGGTGCCGGCTGTGCACGTGGTGGAGAGAGGGTGCCGGGTGCTGGTGCTGGGTGCTGGGTACCGGTGCTGGGTGCTGGTGCTGGGTGCTGTGAGCTGGCGTGCCGGTGCTCGGTACTGGTGCCCGCTTCTGACAGTGAAGTGAAAACAGACGCCGCTTCTGACAGTGAAGGGTGACAACCTGCCGCTTGTAGCAGTGAAGGGCGACCAACAGCCGAAGTGCCAGCAGTCATGGGCCGCATGAACTTATGCACGCAACATCATACGGTGTGTCGCTTGAGGGTTCTTCGTCTATTAGCGCTGTGGGGTATTTACATTCTTCAGGTTCTGTTTTGGCCGACAGCTGTGTCAACCGCTGTGCTGCTTGCGCGTGTACTTTTGTACATGTTCTATGCGCAACGTCAGGCTCTCAACCGACCATGGCTTCAGCGTCCTTCAGCATGCTACGCACACGATAGTCGTGCTGGATAGTGCTTGGCGTTGGGCGAGTGCAGCCTACGGGCTTTGCCGCTTGTGCGCATACTTTTGCGCGCAAAAACTTATACGCACAAGATCATACGGCCTTATCGTTCTTGAGATCGTTGCTTCAGGAATGCTACAAAGTCAATATAGTGGCGTTGGATATTGCTTGCCCTTGGGCCAATGACACTTACGGGCTTTGCCGTTTGCGCGCATACTTTTTGTGCGCATAAACTTATGCGCGCAAGATCGTACGTTGTTATTCCCCAAATAGGGATAGCTATGGGGTTCTTCGCAAATAAGAATGAGCTGGGCGCGCTTTCGAAAGGGTGTCGGCTCTGGTGCTGGTGTTGTGGTCCTGGGTGCTGGTGCTGTGACCTGGCTGAGCGCGCGTTTAAGACGGGCGGCGGCGCTGCCGCTGCGGGTGTTGTCAGCTGGCAAAGCGCACCGGTGCCGGTGTCAGCTGGTTGTGCGCGCTGTGGAGGTGCCGTACGCTGGCTGTGCAGGCTGCGTACATTCTTGTTCCAGCCAATCGCATGTCAACAGGTCGTGGGATACTGCCTAGCTATCTGGGTCTATGCTGGTGTAATTTTTTTGGAAGACTCGACGATCTATGAAAGGATGGCTTTGATGATTTGAGGTGGGAAGCGCAGCTGAATCAGCAGACGGAGTTGGGTCAGCTGAATTTTTGGGAGAAGTTGGAGAAGCCACCCAAGTAGAAGCTAAGCGTATACTTGGGAGGAATATACTGTAATACATAAAAGTTGTCACTTCTATGGGAAGAAACGTAGAGACACACGGAGATGTCTCCAAAATGTGTGCCTAGACAAAAGTACCGAGAAGGATACTTCTATAGCGAAACGCCGACCGAGGTTACTGCCTCCAGTCGACGGCGAAGGTTTGCTGGGCTTGCTATGCCAGGAGGACGGTGCGGGCCATGGCGTTTCATGGAGCAGCCAGAGGGAAGGTGGTGTGGGTGGGTGGCTTTCGAAGAACTTTTTCTTTTTCCCCAAGCAGTTTACTGTTGGGGGTTCTCAATGCTTTAAAGAATGGTCGCCTTGGTGCTGGATGGTCTGGTCGGGTTCCCGGCCGGCTTGTCTCCCACTTCCTTTCATTTGTCTCCCAGTTCTTTTCATTTGTCTCCCAGGCTGGGCGCTTGTGGTCGGGTTCCCGGCTGGCTTGTCTCCCACTTCCTTTCATT